CTTTGCCTTGGTGCTGGAGAAAATAAAGTTGCATTATATTTTCAAATCCTTCTCATGCCTATAATCTCATGTGAGAAGCAAAGTTCTAGAGTAGCTGCTTCTCATTGTGCATGGACATTTCTTTGGCAGCTAATAAGAGCTCTGAGCCATTTCACCAGAAAATTACCTGTAAATGTAAAATTCTACCCTAGAGTCTGTTTATTCTTTTGCATAAAATAGGGGATAATGGTAATCACATCCGGGGTACCAGAAGGTGCTACGAGCAAAATAAGAGTATTTAAAAGCACATTATAAATTACAAGGATCAGATAGATATATAGTTACTGCTACTGCATCTCTTTCTTGAAAGTGTCTCAGGGCTGACTTAATAGGACAAATTGGCAAAAAAATGTTTAAGAGACCTCTCACTATGTGCTTCAAAGTACCCCGATATCTATTCAATTAAAAAAAAATGAGTAAAGGAACAGACATTTCTCCAATGAAGATATGTTAAGTGGTCAAAGAACATCTAAAAAGAAGCTAAACATCTTTACTTAACAGAAATGCAAGATCACAAATGAGCCAACACGCAGAAGCTCTAACATGAAAAGTTTGTCTTACCTGTAAAATGGGATAGTTGGATGACCTTATTACACTTGTACCAGGCTCTTCAAGATCGTATTTTGTATGGCTGTACAGACAGCTTGGGGTTGTTCCTATTTATATCCATTTAATAGTACAAAAGGAGAAATTGTGTGTGGAAATAAAACATGTATCTTATGAGTTTGCATTTTTGTAGCAAAACTTTTAAGGGCTCATGGCATAAACCCTTGTTAGTGTCTACATTATGAGCATCTCAAGAACCGTGCTTCTTTATCTCACTGTCCCCCACACAAGGCTTCCTGAGCAACACTATTAAGAATATACGCTGAAATGGATGTCTTGCCTCCCATAAGGAATATAGAACAAAAAATACTTCCAAACAGGTGAGTTACAGTTAACATCACCTGTGAACTGAAGTTCCAACATGTACAGAAGAGAAAAATATCTCCCGATCGTTTTCTAATAATCTAAGAGTATCAGAATCTATTTTAAAACTAGTACCCCTCAGATTAAGATGAAAGTAGAGGAACATGGAAAAGTTTACAGAACAGTTTAAAAGCTGTTAAAAAACAGTTTAGCGTGCCGCTAAAAAGGCAGGCAGGCGGACCAAAGGCCTGAGCTGCATTTGGTCAATGCAGCAACTCAGTGAGAACCTGACTCAAAATAAAAATTTAAAAAGTTTAATCAAGATGCGCAGAGGCCAGGGGCTCAATCCCTGGGTGTGCCATGCCGGCCCCGCTCCCTGGGTGCACTGAAAGAGTGACTGAAACTGGGCGTAGTGGCGTGTGCCTGTAATCCTAGCACTTGGAAGGCTGTAAACAGGCGGATCACTACGAGTTTGATCTAGTAGTGAGACTCTGAACATCCTGGAGCCCCTCCCCTAAAATACAAAGAACAAAAAAATAATCAGGGGCTGGCACTGTAGTGAAATGTGAAGGCCTGACTCAATCCTTCCTGCAAAGACAAAGAAACACCACTTCAAGTACATATACATTTAGAAAGACTTCACCTTCATATTCCTACATTCTCATGGTCATGCACTGATTAGAGTGAAAGAACCAGGCACGAAACCCAGTGACAGAGAAGCAACACGCATGAAGGGATAGCAGAAAAGTGGCCCTACTCCCCTCTGGACTCCTCTCGCACAGTGAGGAACAAGACCACGGCATTATTACTTGTTTGCACAATAAGGCAACTTACGGTCAGTGAATACCGAACTGGTTCACAACTTTACGAATTTCATAAAAGTACAGAAAAAAGACAGACCCGCTTATTAAGTAAGCAATGCCCATGGCTGCCATAACCTGGTGGGTAGGACCTTATCCAGACCATACAGGTGAGCCAAGCAAGATTTTCATGCTAGAGGGTCTTTTATAATAAACTCCCATTAGATACAGTAAAACATTGGAAGAAAAAGTAGAACTTGCAAGGAACGATGCTGCTGCACACGAATCCCAAACATATGCACATACACATGGTAACACGCATGGCGGCTGGAACCAGGCTGGAACCAATCTGAGTTTCTTTCATTCAGGCACTCTGAAACCACAAGCGCTTCTGAGCTACTGCTACAGCTGCTCCTCTGCCTCATCTGTGACAGGTAACAGCATGCACAGTGCAGCTCTTTCCCAGTTCAAATAGCTACGAATCTGCTTTTACAACCCTGGCGCCAGCCAGGAAGCCAGGGCCTGCGTGTCTGATCCCTGCCCTAGAGCAGAAAGGCGGCAGCGCACGCATGCCTCCCAAAGTACAAGCCTGAATCACAGGAGATTAAATTCACTCCTATCTTTCAGAAGCTCTGTGCAGACAGAAAAGAGCTCTAAGGAAGCAAACAAGCATCTGGAGTGGAGGTGTGAAGCTCTATTTGCATGCAGAAAAGAATTCAAGGGACCTAAATAGAACTGCTGAAACGGAAGGAAGTCACCCAAGGACAGACATCACAGGTGGTGTTCACAGGGCGTCACATAAGCCTATGGTGATGTACCCACCGCTTCCCTAAAGTCAGATTTGGGCTCAAGAAGTCCTGGCCAAGATATTAACCACCAAAGCCATTTTAAGCTAATAAGATTTAATGCTTCTATACTGGATTCAAAGTCAAAATCATCTTCCCATGCAAGACACTAGAGTAATTCCACTCACCATCACAGAAGGAGCAAAGTTTCAGTGAATGCCCTACAAGCTGCACTGAAAAGAGAACCAGTAATCCTGCAGTCTTCTAATCCTTGACTCTGGTTCCCGCATCTTTAGGAAGGCCTCGAAGCTGCTGTGAGTGGTTTACAATCGACTCAATTCAGCATAATTGATACTTGCTTAAAGGGAGAAACGCGATCATCCTTACTACTGCTAACATCCCATTAAGACTAAAGTTAATTAGGCTGTATTCCATAAAGTCAATTTGAGGCATTTGTCTCAATAGCATTATTGTAATTATTCCTCATCAAAATGAATACCACCTCCTACAGCGTGCCAATGTCCTGCGTAAACAACAGCAAAATATCCAACAACCTAACATTTTATTCACCACCTAAATACATGTATGTTTATAAAACTGAAAAGGGATTCACAGAAATTCACATGCTTTAAAAAGAAAATTCAAAGGCAGGTTTAGGGTGTTTTAAGTTTCCAAAAATAAAAGCAATGTAAAAACCATGGCAAATGCTATGTATCATAATAACGGTAATTATTGAAGCTGTCCTACTAACTGGCTTTGAAACTGTCTCACTGCTGTTTCTCAATAAAATTATTTTAAAAAATTAAATAAAAAAATAAATGATGTGACTAAATTTTTAAAATGATGCTTCAGGAGAAAAACTAAGGCAATCATCAATATGATCTTCTGCTAGCATTATGAGTATGCTAACGTGCACTCAATAGAAGAAGTGGGCAGGTAGACGGGAGAAAGTGGGCTAGGGAAGGCGTGCCCCAGGAATTCAGACTCTTCAGAGATGCTCTGGGAGACAGGTGCCCTGAGAACAGCGGCTCCCAAGCCTGGCCGCGCTTTTGGGCCATCTGAGAAGCTTCGAGTGCCCACGTGCTCAGGCTCGAGCCGGCCATTAAATCCAAGGCTGAGGTGCAGCCAAGTGAACAGCAGTTTTCAAGGCTCCCCTGGGGACTCCAGCACAGCAAAGTGTGACACCCAGTGACAGTCTACGGAAGGCCTCAGGTGAAACAGCTCTAGAGTGGGACGAGGGCGCCGCTCACTGCTCAGCGCAAACCCCTGATTGGAGCCCGCGTGAGTCCCGGGTTCACGCTCCAGGTTTGGCCCTCTTAACCAGTGTGACCTGAAGGAAACTATGCAATTTTTGTGCGGCCTAGATGTGTTCCTTCTATGCAATTTTTGTGCGGCCTAGATGTGTTCCTTTTACACAGAAAGAGGTTCTACAAAATCTTTCAAGATTCTATTTAATTCTAACCGTCTCAACAGACTAAAAGAAATCCCTCTAAGCCGCACAACTCTTGCCAGCACCACCAGGCCTGCAGGAAATCACAGTGCAAGGCTCAACCCAGTCTCTTCTTCACACACAATCAGATCCCACGTTTTACTTAACTCCTCCTTTGCACTTCTCAGAGCTACACTCACCAGCAAAAACTGAGTGAATTCTGCATAGGTCAGGTGCCTTTTTCTTTCTTTTCCAAAATGCAGCTGTACAAATTCTGAATCCCAGTTAAAAGGAATATGTTGATGAATTGTGGTCTGTCCGAACACCTGCTTAACATCCTCTGCAAAGAGAAAAGTCAGTTAGAATAAAGCAAACGAGCACGACTCCCCAGACACTGCTATTCCATCTTATACTAAAGTAACTCCATTTAAACAGAGATATGGCTATAAGACCCTGGCAAAATAAAAGCAAAAGGCTTCATGGAGACAATCGAGAAATGAAGCTAAATAATCATGCAAAAAGGGAGAAAATCAGCTCACACACATGCACACAGCCTAAAGCAACAGAAAACCAAAGTACGAGTTACGGTTACTATTGTCTCATTTACTCTGCTTACCATGTGTTGTTTTTTAGGAAGAGGGGATAGAATTCAATCACCAGTGGCAGGATAAACATCACAGACACATATATAATATTTGTAAGCATGAAAAATAGTCTGTGTAAGCTATTAAAAAGTTTTTCCAAGACTCACAGATCAGTTATGAGCTTGAACCACATGTTCAATACTCTTAGGATTCTATATGAACTTCAAAAGTCAAACTTTATCAAGCTGCACTTGAAGACAAAGAAGACAGAAAGAAAAGTCAGCAGCCAGATTCTGTAACCTCACACTGCAATTGGGGACGGGGAGGCTTCAACATGACAAAAGCTCTCAGATTATTCCAATAATCCCGTTCAGACTGGGTGACTACATACATGTGCAGTGCTGTACTGACTCCATGCCTCTGCACAGCCTCTCCTTAGAACTGTGAGAGGAGTACCGGAAAAGAATCCGGGTAGCCTTCTCTAATGCTTCATGCTTTTACTTATTAGTATCTCCCTGCCCACAATAGTGTTTGGAAGCTGAAAGAAATACAAATTACTACAGCAATGAATTCTGCCCCAGCTTTCACATTTTTAAGGATACTCAAAAAACATATTCACTGTTTTCAGCAAACTGTGCTCATACATTTTACCCCCTTTTCCTTTGCTTTAAAGAGAAAGACAAGAAAAAAAGAAATTGTTCAGTCCTCTAAATGTTGCCACAAACTTCGGCACGTTTCTATTGCTTCCCAAATTTCTTACTTCTGTCCCCATTGCACCCACAAAGCTTTTATTATATGCTCTTAAAGTTTCCAGAAATGTTTAAAGTCTTGTCATGAAGAAATAGCAATGCCTCCACCAGCATAAGATTGCGTGTCTATTTGAATAGAGAAGGTAATAAAAATCAGAATTGTGCTAGGTATACATTTTATACAAGGGGTCTGAAAACCGCTGTGGGCCCAAATGAAGACCATGAAACCTGTGAAGCAGAATCCTTAATTTTTCTAAACTTACTGTTTTCTCCACTTTCTTTTTTTGGGGGGAAACAATGAATACAAGAAAAAAAATAAATCAAGAATTAGGATATAAAAGAAATTGGGTGGGAGGATACGCTCACGCAGCGTCTGACTAGGTAATAAAATGAATTAAGGAGATTTTCTTCCGTAAGTGAGAAGGAATACCAAAATTCAAATAACTTGGGCTCAATTGCTGCTAACAGCAGTAAAGATGCTTTGAGCACTTACCACATAGTCATTGCTGTAATAATGATAAATCCTTAATGTCGTGAAGCCAGACTTCTCCAGCACCAAAACTAGCTAACCCATATTACCCGTGATTCCTTTCTCATCCCTAACGTCTACGCCTCTGCAGAGAGGTCCAACTAAGCTCAACAAAGGCTCCTGCAGTTTTCTCATCTACACTGAGAAGGGACTGGACGAGAAACAATGTTCTAATGATGAAGGTGTAGCCAAAAGAACAAAAACAAACAAATTTTATTTATTGTAGCATAAATAAAACTCTATGCTACAATAAAATTTTAGGAAACAAAAAATTTTAGAGAAATAAGCAAGCAAAAATTGGTTGTGGTTTATCTGGGGAGATAACCTGAAGATTCCTGTCTGCCAAGTGTTCTTGTGAAGCAAAGTTTAAATGGAGCAACCACGTGACAACTGTCCAATGAGGCCCTTTCTCCCTGACCTTCCCTTCTTGTCCCACACTGAGTAACAGGAGGCAGTAACCACACCGTATATAAATCAGAGGCAGTTATTACTTCTTGTATTGTATCATGGCCTATAACAATAAATACAAAAATGAGTTTCAATTGTTAAACATTAGTTAACGAATGTAAAATGGGTTTAATCCTAACCAATAATTTTATTTTTCCCTGTAATGAAAGTAACTACCACCTGATGCTTACTTCAGGTCAGAGTTTAATATAAGACTTTGAACCTCTAACTGTATATGGAATTCTTCCCACAATTCCATGAAATGTTGATGCAAATGCCTGCTTAAAGTACTGCAACTGAGTCGCTGTAGATTAGAGTTCTACCTTATCACTAAAGAAAGTATTACTTGATTATAAATTCTACTGCCCCTACTTGTTTGACGAAAAGATTATCTTTACATGGTATGTACATTATGGTACTACAGAAATATGCACTTGGACATATTTATTGTGCACCTTTTTTTCCAAATAGACTATTAGCTGCTGGATTCCCCCATGTGGCTGGCACAGTGGCAGGCACAGAACAACTAAGTACTTTCCATATAAGTGGGTCTTAAAGGGTGCAACAGGTTAACGACCATGGTACTAACCTGTTGAGAGACTATGGTTTCTGTACAGTTATTTCAACAACCATTTCAAAACACTTCAGTAATAGTCTTACTTATTAAAACCCCTAAATCCCCTCCTTAGCTGATTTTAAATCTCTCGAGAAGTCAAAATATCTGCACTTGTTAAGCGCATATCTAAAATCCCAGCACTCTAGGAGATGGAGGCAGAACAACTGCATTTTTGAGTCTGGTCTAAGCAATTTAGCAGCTTAACGAGATACTGTCTCAAAATTAAAAAATAAATAAATAGCAAATGGAAACAAAACCCAACCCAACCCAACCCAATCTAACAAAGCAAAAAGAAACTACTCAGCTTAGGTGGTAAGCAGATGCCAATATTCCTAACACTCTAGAAGCACCAGGCAGGCAGAAGATGAATTGCAAATTGAGCCCACCCTAGGCAATTCAATAACTTAGTAACAACCTGTCTCAAAATGAAAATTAAAAACAAAAATTAAAGCACTGGTAATGTAGCTCGTATGAAAGCCCTGGGACCAACTTCGAGTACAAAACAAAATAAAACAGAACAAAATGAAGATAAAACTCAATCTGATAGCCAGTGCAGGTTTGCTCAAATGGACCTTTGACAGTTTGCCAATGAATACCAACACTATAAGAAAGGCTCATTTCTTCTGAAGCAAATCCAGGTTCAATCACAGGCCTTTAACCCAAAGCCACGAGTCCTGAGTCATGACAAATCCCATTCCAGGTATCCACAGACAGTGTCTTCAATAAAATACTAAAATACTTTTTAAATTCCAGGACTTGATACAGTAATGGTGCAGGCATGTCTGCTATGGAAAGTATATCTGGTAATAGTACTTGGCTAACAAAACAAAAAATGTAGAATTTTCTACCACTTGGCACAAGTTCTAAAAAACTTATTTTTCACTCCCCTCACTTGTCAAAAGTGTAAGAGTAACGAACTCCCATAACGGGACAAACCAAAAGATATGCAAATGATGAGAGGGTTGTTGGCAGAGAAACTTACCAATATTTCTATTCATTCTCACAGCTAATAACTTCATTTAAGATATTAAGTCTCAGTGCTCTGGAAAATTTACATTTCCTCCAAAAGTGTTTTATAGGCTCCTAAGTCTCCACATATCCCCGTCAGCGCCAGTAAGCCATTCTGAGGCATTAGTCTTCTACAATATTTGCCTGAAGGTTTATGAACACAGACAACATCTATAAACCAAAATAAATAATCACAAGGGGATACTGGCACTCCCCTCACTTTGGAAGACACTGAAGCACTATCTGAGGTTACTATTCTTCTGAGGAGACACAAATAGCGTTCTCATCCAATGCTGTTTAAGGGCTCATCATGCCCTGTGAGGCAATGACAGATTAAGAGTGTGCCTCTCATATTATAGCAGGAAAATCTGAAAATCAAACAAACAAACAGACAGACAGAAGTCCAGTTTAGATCTGATGCTCTGGTAACCCTCTGAAAGCTTTACCATGAAAAGACTTGAGGAGTTACCACTAAGCCTTCACTATTCCCAGACCTAAAAGGAAAGAGGCAACTCCCAATGTTTTAAATCTTCTCAATCAGGAGGTCTCTCCTGCTCTGAAACACAATCTTAAAAATCTTACCTCTGCATTGAGGTGATAGAAAGCAATGAAGCAACCTGAATAAGCACTAGAACGTGAGTACCCGACTATAGTAGGTCTACCTTGGGTACATAGTCACACTCTTCTGAAGCTCAGTCACCCCTCCTGAAAGTGAAAAACAAACTAGAATGCTTATCTCTTAAAGTATAACCACTGGCATTTCAGTCTTTCACTATATGTGAAAGGGCTCTTGGCTCCTGCAAGATCACCAAATAATGGTGATGTTATCTGGGACAAGACTCCACCAAATAAGTGCAAAGATCTCTCTAAGTTCATTTATGGGACCTTGCTTTCCCCAAAACTATGTCCACCTTAAAACCTGCTGTGTTTTTTATACCATAAAAAGGCGATTACAAAGTGGCAGCTATTTTTTTCCTAAAGACAATTTCAAAAAGTCAAATAACTTCTTTCATGTTAAATTTCCTAGGCTACTAAGGATGATGGCAGGAAAAAGTCACAACTCCTATAAGCTGGGCCATTACACCCCCACCCCACCCCAATCCACCCCCACACCCCTCTGGAAAACTGACCAGCTGAAATTACAAAAAAAAAAAAAAAAAAATCCATTAGGAACTAGAAATGACTTCAGAAAAGTTGGAAGACAGCACACAAAATGTACACAAAAATCAACCATATCCCTATATGTTCGAAATCAGCAACCAAAAATAAAGTTAACCCATTCATGCCAAAGAATGTACTTTAAAAAGTTTTTTTTGGTATGCAATTCATATATGCTACCTAGAAAATGTCAATGAATAAGAATCTGGAGAGAAAAAACAAAATCAATGAATATACTTAAAAACCCAT